TCCACTCCAGTGCCGACAATCCTATTCCCGCCGTTCCACTAAACCTAAATGCACAATCGTTTCCAGAACATCACGGCGAACTCGTCCGAATCGAAGCGACGAATCAATGTGGCGGCGGAAGCACGATTCGGTGGGAAATGTGGATGTGATCTGTTCACGTGGTCACTTCTCCTACGTTTTCTCGTCCAATCTCTACTGTGAGGCAGCCAAGGATCTCGTCACATGTATAGCTTTTCGGCAAACCCCCACTATCTAAGTAAAAAACGAAACCAAGTCATCAAAGCTACGCTTTCAAAACATTTCTATCATCGATCGATCATGTGATGTTTTTTTCGAAGTCGTTAACTCCATTCAGAACGAGGAAAAACACTTCAGACTTTTGTTCTCTCACCCCCCCCCCCCCGCACCCCAAGTTTGAACCTGATAGCTGCTGTAATCCTACCCTATTTACATTCTGCTAATATTGATCGGTGGAATACAGTAGCAGACTAGAATTCTAACATCATTCGGCTACAGTATCATTCAATTTCTTCTAGTAAGATATGTCGTAATTGCGGACTCAGTAGTAGAGCACCTCGGCGAGGACCTGGAAATCCGATCCTTTTTCGCCAGCAAAACTATACTGTTGGTATTATTCAGATTCCCCATATAGCAGCTTCTGTCGACTAGGAACAGTAATTTTTGTGGGCGTCGTCATGTGCTCTGCTAGGTCCGTAAGCTACGACACGTCCTGCCGCGGAAACAGAGTGCAGATGAGGACTTTGTGTTGCATCAAGTAACTTGCCAGGCTGATGGGTTCAACATGAGTCTGAGGTTTGAAACTGTCCTGAATGGAGTACCCTAGTTGAGTTGAAGTGTGCTTTCAAAAAGTCTAAATAATGAATTCAATTGCTCCTGTTTGTCCATACGAAGTCTTTCTTTATAATGAACAGTAGCTTAGTAGCTATAATTTTATAGCCTAGTTTGCCATAAGTAGTAAGAAGTAGCGCTAATTTATTGTGCAATGATTCTGTACAGTTATTCTCTGATTAATAAAGCATTTCATATCGTTTGTTACATCGAAACCGTATGTACACGCCCTTTCGTAAAACGAGAAGAGCGTCGGGTGCAGACCACACACCACAAGTGACGACGGCCTCCACAAAATGTAAATGTTTTCTGCCAATGAAATGATTAGCCTGTTGCAGTTGTATTCTATCAGTTGTCACTAATTACAACTATCATTTACCAAAAATCAGCTATCACTATGAACCACTACTAACCAGATTTACTTGGAGGCCGTCGTCACTTGTGGTGTATGGTCTGCACCCGACGCTTTCTCGTTTTTGAAAGGGAGGTATATGAGTTATGCTTGCCTTAGCTGAGCGCAAAAGCCACAATACGCCCCATCTGGCATTCTGTTGTTTGGGTAAGGTACGCAGGGCTGGCGGTGCAGGATAGCCCTTTACAGCTCACTGGATCAAGTCCCATTCAACAGCGTAGGGAGAAGTGGCGCTGCTTACCACGCCACGATCCGGGGATCGAATGCTGGCTAGGAGACGTGTAGGCTAACCAAGCTCTCAATCCTCCTAGGATCGGTGTTCTAGCACCAGGCTTGTTGGGGAGGAGAAAAACACTCGGGCTCGTAATTCCGTCTGCCTCGTCAGGTAACTAAGTAAGCCAAATCCCTATCAAATTGCCACCATAGTTCTGAACAGAAGTAGAATGCGTGGCGCAGTCTAAAATCGGATGATCAACGCCGCAGCTTTTTCCATACAAAACCGAAACGTAGAGGAAGCACGACTGGAAGGAATAGAAACGACACACACACAAAACGCCATCGGAGGGTGCAAAAACGCGACACGAGAGGAAACCCGTCCCATGGAAGTTTGCACCTGTCACAAAGTCCAATCTGCCTTGTCTAGAAAACGGCTCCAAAGAAGTGCAATGACGTATGTGTGTGATTCTAGGGTAGATTGCGAAAGCGTAATGATCCCTCATTACTTGTGGTACAGACGAGAAGTACACATTGACTTCTAATTTTTCTTCCTAGCGTTAGTCTCGCGCAGACGCAGGGTCCTTACCTTTGTCAGTCGTCACCACATTGCTCTCACGGACATGTATGTGTTGGAAGAGTTCCGTGTGCGAGTGCCTTAGTATGGGTGTGTGAGTGAGTGGTGTAGGTGATGATGTGAGAGCGACAGAGGCAGGTTCTCAAAGGGTTCAAGATCAGCTCGTCGACCCAAGCTGCTTATCCATCCTCTCCATGGGAAGCTCTGTCCCCCCCCCCAGCTCTATCTGCTGCGGGAGGACAGGATTGCGTCATTGGAGCCGGTATGGCTGCCGTCCCCCCCCCCCCCCCCACCCCCCGCGCATGATATTTTAGCTACCCTCCTGTGTTGAGGCACTGCTTTCCTTGAGCGGTCATGCTGTCTGTTGCCTGACGCAGAGTATGGCTGCTCCTATGACGCAACCCTGTCTCCTCCAACCTGGGTTAGGATCACGGTAGGGGACGTGTCCCCTTGGGGGTAATTAGGATACGGTCCCGGGGCGTCTTCTACCGTAGCCGTGACCTCACTCAAGTCCTTATTGAAGCGTCTCACCAGGGGCTCCTCCCAGTCGCTTGCTTCTTCTAAGGTCACGAATGGCGGAGGAACTAGGCGTGGCTCAAGTATCCCAAGGAGGAACGTGGGAGAGCTAAACCATAAGACGAAGTGGTAAGCCTCAAAGGGGAAGGGTTGGAGTATGGCGTGAGCAACTACAGTATGGGAAAGGTTGGTGGAGACCACAATGTTTGAGTCGCTGCATAGAGGCGAAAGGGGTGGCGCAGAACGAAGATTAACAGCGGACTCAAAAGGAGAACCGAAGCTCAAAGCTAGTCGACTTTGCATGCGCCAGCGTGGCTTGGGTGTGTGTGTGTGTGTGGTGTGTGCAGTACAGGGGCGAAGAAAACGAGGTGTGACCTTTATTTGGTCAAAGGTTAGGTTGACCAGGCACAGGTAGGGGCCTCCGCTTTGCGGTCTGCCCTCTGTGTTGCTAGAGAATGGGTTGCCATTTTGTCATTTTGTTTGAGGTGCATGTAGTGTTGAGTGTGGTAAACGACCATAGCCGCGACGGGGAGGCGTATCAGGCAAAGCCGGATAGTCGTGGCAGGTATGGTAAACTACGGGGTGGACTTGTTTGGGTGTGGTGTGGTGGTGGTGGGTCGCCTGGCTCATCCGGGCAAGGTGGTGTGCTGCTAGGGACCCTTTTTTGGTGCGTTCTGACTATTTTGCTTTTTCGCCACTGGCGCATTATTCAATCTCCCCACTCCCACTATAGATCCATTCCAGTCTTATCGTAATCCCTCACCTTAAGCCTCCGCTTTATCCCTTCACTGATGCGCTGTAACAAACAAGCCGAGACTGATGAACTGTAGGACACTATATATGATTGATAAAGCCTTCAGGAGAGCCATCGGAAAAAAAAAACAAGCGGAATGTACGGGGAGGGAAGCAATTGCAGAAGGTACTGTAGGGCAAAAAGTTGTGCTTCTAGGATGTGTGTGATGGTGGTGTACGAGTTTTCGTGTTAATGGTATTGCACTCGTTACGAGGTAGGACCGCTAGGGTTCAGCTGCATTTGGCTTCCGCTGAGTATCCTATGTTTGTACGTATAAAGTTCGGGTGGTGGAGTGTTGTTGGAAGCTTTTCGTTATGAATTCTTTTTTTTTTGAATTGATTTTGCGTTCAATTCTTTTCGTTATGCTCAGTAAACTGCGCTCAGCCTTTGCCGCTTGGGGCGCAATTGGAGTTCCACCTTATTTTTGATGATGTCGCTTTAAATATTGCTGCTAGTTGCTTAGGACTGTGAGTTTTCTTCTGCCCTCTTATTTTGTGTGGTGCGGCTCTAGGTTACGATCGTTGTTTCCCAGTCGTGTCAATTTTGTTTTTGAAGTGTGTGTGTATGCTGGTTTATATTCCTGAAGTCAGACAAAACCGATTTGTAAAAATATCGGATGTGTTTTGTTGAGTTTTGACGTAAAATTTTCGTTGATCGCGTTCTTGGGTTATACTTAGTTTTGGCATAATTGATTTTGGATTACAAGAAGTTAGGGTGGTGCGGTTGTGTTTTTTTTTTTTTTTTGTTTTTTGCTGGGTTCTGCACCGTGGAAAAATTTCCACCGATTAGATTTGATTGCGAAAAAATAAAGTTATGTCTTTTCGAAATAATTTGTGTGACTTCAATTGAGCTGATTCTGGGTTTGGTGTCTTTTTTCGTGAGTTGCATGTCCTGGTTATTATTCATGTTGAAAAGCGCAATGTTCCTGGATCAATCACCCCCCCTCCCCCCCCCCTTCCCGCCCCCTTGTTCCCCCCCCCCCCCCCGCTCCTTCTGCGTCTGTTCCTTTTGTCAAGTAGTTCGCCCTATGGCAAAATCGCATATTCATCAGTGCCTTGGATGGCGGAATCCATCGCCTCGAAGTTGCACCAGAAACTACCGTTGCACAGATTAAGGTCTGTTTATTTGTTTCCAAACTATATATTAAAAGTCAAAATATGTTAAGTCTTCTTCTTCTTCTTCTCCCTAGCGTTAGTCCCGCGCAGTCGCAGGGTCCGCTGTCTTTATCAGTCGTCGCCACTTCGCTCTGTCTAGGGCATCCTCTGCTGTGGCCGTGATTTCACTTAGGTCCTTCTTTGATACGTCCTTCCACCTCTTCTTTGGGGCACCTCGCGGTCGCTTGCCTTGCGCTTCGAAGTCCATTGCTTTCCTTATTGGGTGGTCCTTGTGGCCTCCTTAGCACGTAGACGTTCCCGTATCTTCAGCTGGACAGGGGCAGTCTGCATGACCGCTCTGACCTCCTCATTTCTGACCCTGTCCAGTCGCGTCCAACCACAGGCCCATCTCAGCATCCTCATCTCAGCGGAGTGCAGCTGCCTTTCGTGATTCTTGTTCAGGGGCCAGCACTCGCTGCCGTATAGCATCGCAGGCCTCACCACTGCCCGATACACCTTTCCTTTCAGTGTTCTGGAGCACCTTCGATCGCAGAGGATCCCAGTGGACTCCCTCCACTTCATCCAGGCCGCGTTGATTCGTGCCTTTACTGCCTGATCCACACTTCCGTCGGCTGCCAGATCGCTCCCGAGGTATCTGAAGTCCTCCACTCTTTCGATGATCTCTCCATGGCCGTCTACGATTGGCTGCAATCCCTCTTCAGAGCTCAGGAACTTGGTCTTCTTGACATTCAGCCGAAGCCCACCTTCTGCCAGCACTTCCTGCCATTTCTGCACCTTGGCCCTGTAGTTCTTCTCTGCTTTCCGCTATCAGGGCGATGTCGTCAGCGTAGAGGATGGTCTTTAATGGTCCTTCCATGAGCCCCTTCACCATGACATCTAGTGTAAGGAGGAAGAGGAACGGGCTCAGAGCTGACCCTTGGTGCACCCCAACCGTGATGTCCACTTCCTTCGTTAGGCCGTGTGGGGTGCGTATAGCTGCCTTCGCCCCATCGTACATGTCCTTCACCAGAGAGATCAGGTGTTCTGGCACGTTCCGTTCCCTGAGCGCTCTCCATAGTACTGCTCGAGGTAGCCGGTCGAACGCCTTCTCCAGGTCGAGGAAGGCTAGGTAGCAGGGTCGGCGCTTTTCTCGGTACTTTCCATCACTTGCCTGCGATGAAGATGGCATCCGTGTAGACCTTTCGGGCATGAACCCGAACTGTTCCTGGGAGATCGGGACCAGCTCCCGCAGTTTCGAGTCGACCAGTCGCTCGTACAGCTTCATTGTATGAGCAGTCAACTTGATCCCGCGGTAGTTGGAGCAGTCCATCGCGTCACCCTTCTGCTTGAAGATGGGGACGATAGTGCTTGTTCTCCAGGCATCCGGCATCCTTCCTTCGGTGGTTACCGTGTTCAGGAATTGGGTAAGCCATCTGATCCCGTACTCTCCGAGCGCCTTCCATGCCTCGATTGGCACCTTATCTGGACCCACCGCCTTTCCAACCTTCATCTTCCTTAGTTCTTGACGAACCTCATCCTCTGTCCATAGTGAGATAGGGCCAGCCGTCGCCTCTGCTTGCGAGCTGTCTTTGTGGGGAACTCCTCGTTCAGGAGCGCTTTGTAGTACTCCTCCCACCTCCTCCTGACTTCAGTTGGCTTCCTCAGGATGGCACCGTCACTGCTCTTCACGCTCTTCACCACCCTAATGTCTTGGGTAGCCCGATGCCGGGCTTTGGCCAGTCTGAAGACGAACTTCTCTGCGTTTCTGCTTTCCAACTTCTCGTACAAGGCGTCCATTTCCGTGTTCTTCGCCTTGGCGACGGCTGCCTTAGCGAGCCTCTTGCAACTCTTGTAGGCAGCGAGGTCCTCGGGGCTCCGGGTCTTCTGCCAGCGCTTGTATGCTTCCTTCTTCTGCTTCACGACTCGCTGGACCTCCTCGTTCCAGAACCACGCTGCCTTGTCTCCTCTGAATCCACCTCGCGTCTCGCCCAGTACCTCCTTGGCGCATCGTAGGATGATCTCAGCTGCACTGCCCCAAGTCTGCTGCACTGGTCCCTCAGGATCTGGGAGACCAACTTCCATTATCCTTCGTTTGAGGTCGCTCTTCTCTGCTCGGTGCAACTTCCACCACCGGATTCTCCTCTCGGTTCTTACCCTTGTCTTCTTGGGAGGTCTATGGCAATGTCTGCCAGGAGGGGCCTGTGCTGAGGAGCCAGTTCTTCGCCAGGAAGTACCTTGATATCCTTCACAGTTTTGAGGGATGATCTTCTTACCAGCACATGGTCGATTTCCGTCTGTCTCCCTCCACTGCTGTAGGTTGACCTTCTGAGTCTCCCTTTTCGCGAAGAACGTGCTGCAGATTGCCAGATCGTGGGCAGTAGCCAGGTCCAGGACCCTCTCTCCCTCGGCGTTCCTCACTCCTATTCCTCTACCTCCGTGCACCCTTTCAGACCTCTTCTGTCGCTGCCGACGTGCCCATTCAGATCACCTGCTATGGTCAAGTAATCGCTTTCCGGGATCGATCTGATGGCTTCGTCAAGCCTTAGGTAGAACTCGTCCTTCTCACTCTCGGGGCATCCGGTCTGCGGAGCGTACACTGAGAGTATTGACCAGTACCCCTCCTTCGTGTCTATCCTCACAGCCATGATCCGATCGCTGATCCTGTTCACAGCGGAGACATAGTCCTTGAGCGACTCCGCTACCGCTATGGCCACACCGTTCCGCTTGGTGTCTTCCCCATTGTAGTAGAGTTTGACACCTTCCCCGATTTCCCTGGCCTTAGCACCTTTCCATCGCGTCTCCTGAAGGCATAGGACTTGGATTTTCCTGCGCGTCATCAGATCAGCAACCTCTCGGGACCTTCCAGTTAGCGATCCTACGTTCAGAGTCCCAATTCGAACTAGCTTCTTTGGCCGAGGCCGTTCACTCCTCGGTAGCCCTCGCATACTGACCACAGAACTCGGGCGGGGGTTCTGCGCGCCACTTCCGGGTGACGTCCTAGCTTTATCACTGATTCTTTGACAACTTTTAGACATGGTTGGTGTGACTGGGGTATTCATCAGCCGGCCTGTCAACCTGGGCCTGACGCTGGTACTAGAACCATTTTTGCAATTTTTGCAAGGCATGGTTTCGAACCTCGGCAGGGATCGAACTCGCGGTTTTTCAGAGGTGCAGACATGAGTCTAACCTCTTAACCACTCGGCTATCCCTGCCCCTATGCCTGTTAAGTTCATGATTGACATCCGGAAATTTTTGGAAAGTTCGAAGTTATTTATCAAGAAACTCAGTGTCCTTCCGTGGACACTGAGTGTTCTTTTCCGGTTAGTGTGGATGACTTTATTTTTGCTCAATGAAAGACTGCTTGGGCAATCAATGATGGCAGACTCCATGCTTAAATATTTGAAGTGAGTGGATAAGAAATCTGCGGGAACGAACGCTTCATCGTGAAGGCCGTTGGAAACACCTCTCTAAAGATAGTATTATCAGTTCAATTAAGTCGTATGCGAAGTTTCATTTAACATATGACGACAGCGTTGTGTGGGAACGCTCGCCAGCCCAAGTCATTCCATTTTTTACGCTTGCGCGACTTCTTCCAAAGTTCTTTCCACTATAGGCAAAGCATGGGCATTGTTCCCATTCTATAGTTCGTACGACAGTGATCCACTGTTACTGCTCCAAAATCTAAAAATTTTATTTTTCTTCGAAACTATAGTGGTAATTCGATGCCCTGCTTAGGAATATGACCTTCATTTTTGATGCTGACGCCAGTTGGCAAGTGGACTCTCTCTTATACATTGTGCTTAAGACTGAGACATTGTGCTTAAGACTGAAGCTTATTGGAGAAGGAGGACTCCGAGGTGGGTAAACCATGTAGCATGTGACAAAAGTTGAAGTGTGTGATAACAGGGTGAGTGGCTCACTCACCTCTGAGCCCTTTCTCAAGGATTTAGTCCTGATAGTGATAAACCCAGTGCGAGGGCGCGCTGAGCTGTGCGTCGATGTTATAACCAAATTATTTTTGACGTAGACTTTTTGATTTCTTTGCAATGATTTCCATGGATTGCTCCCTTGCCAGCTGTAATGACATGGTACGTGGCACGCTCTTTATTTCCTCTCCTAGCAATATTTAGTTCAATTTGTGCCTTCATAATTGTTATCCTTGGTCCGTTGGCCGATCAGAAAGGTTTGATTTTTGGTTGATGTACAGGATTATTTTTGCGGTGGTCGGGGTGATAAAAAGACGAGAGGGGAATTAGAAGATACTAACTCTCTTCTGTCCATTTACGTCTTAAGTTGGCTAGGATAGAGAGACTTGCGTTGCAGCGCGCGATGCAGAGCTTGCTCTCTATGCTTATCTTTGCGCTTATTTTTTCAAAGTATAGAGCCTTTCCTAGGATCGAGTTATATTTGGCTTCACAATTGAACTGCAAAATACCTAACCCTTACGTTTACATGGTTGGCGTTGTGAGCGGAAGGTAATGGTATTGTTTCAGAAGGACTTAGGAGCTAATGAGCACATTCTCTCTTATGGTAGCTCCATTCTGGAAGATTCTTCGAGCCTTTCGAGCCTTGACATTTCTGATGGAGCCTCGCTCGCTATAAATGCTAGACTTCTCGGAGGTAAGTCCCATCACACATTGAATTATATTCTTAATCGTATTTTTATATTTATTTCTGATTATGGGTGAATAATTGATTTTGTTCGATATTCATCCAAACCGCCCTTTGTGGAAGTAGTGCTAAAAGCGTTCACAGTGTTTGGCTTTCACCAATTTTTTGAACCATCTCCCTTATATGCAGAGTCTACGTTGCATCATGTCCGTCTTTTTCTGCCGAGCCCTTCTTATGCATAACCCACATCTTGCGTGCATGTAGTCGGCTAGGAGCAATCTAGCGCTAGTTTTGGCCAGAAGTGGACAAACATTGGGGAT